ACAGCAAGTGGTTAAAGCACCACCTATGGACAATTTTTGAGTTCTGTAATTTTTTACGGGTGCATGCAACTTCAAGGCTTGACATCTTTGATTACTATTTGCTTGACATGTCCTTTAACCACTTGCTGACCAGGTGTTTACACCCCCTTCCTGGCCAGGCCATTCTTCAGTATTCAGCGCTGATTCAGCGCTGACTGATATTTATTCCGTCATGCAACGCTGTACTGAAATTAATTTTATACCATTTTTTTGGGACAGATAGAGCTTTCTTATGGTGGTATTTAATCACCACTGGGGTTTTAATTTTTTACTATATTAACTATATATTATATTGTTATAATAAATGTATTCTTACCCAATTTTTGGGTAAATCATAAAAGGTGGGGTCACATCGGGTAAATAGACACCAAACATGTCAAGCCTTAAAATTGCACACACCCGCGAAATCGCAAAAAACTACCATACCCAAAAATGGCCATAGGCGACGCTCAGGGGCGTAAATAGAAATCACAGGGCCCCATAGCAAAATTTTGTATATGGGCCCCCCATCCAACCCCCCCTCTTCCCGGGCAGTAGTTACACCACAGCCTGGCAGAGCAGTGTCAGGATGAAGATGCAGAGATGTGGGGGAGCAGTGTCAGGATGAAGACGAGGAGATGTTGGGGAGCAGTGTCAGGATAAAGACGAGGATATGTGGGGGAGCAGTGTCAGGATGAAGACGAGGAGATGTTGGGGAGCAGTGTCAGGATAAAGACGAGGATATGTGGGGGAGCAGTGTCAGGATGAAGACGAGGAGATGTTGGGGAGCAGTGTCAGGATAAAGACGAGGATATGTGGGGGAGCAGTGTCAGGATGAAGATGAGGAGATGTGGGGGGCAGTGTCAGGATGAAGACGAGGAATTGTGGGGGAGCAGTGTCAGGATAAAGACGAGGATATGTGGGGGAGCAGTGTCAGGATAAAGACGAGGATATGTGGGGGAGCAGTGTCAGGATAAAGACGAGGATATGTGGGGGAGCAGTGTCAGGATAAAGACGAGGATATGTGGGGGAGCAGTGTCAGGATAAAGACGAGGATATGTGGGGGAGCAGTGTCAGGATAAAGACGAGGATATGTGGGGGAGCAGTGTCAGGATAAAGACGAGGATATGTGGGGGAGCAGTGTCAGGATAAAGACGAGGATATGTGGGGGAGCAGTGTCAGGATAAAGACGAGGATATGTGGGGGAGCAGTGTCAGGATGAAGATGAGATAAAAGAGAGCAGTGTCAGGATGGAAAGAAGTAGGGGAGCAGTGTCAGGATGAAGATGAGATAAAAGAGAGCAGTGTCAGGATGGAAAGAAGTAGGGGAGCAGTGTCAGGATGAAGATGAGATAAAAGGACGAATGCACAGCCGAAAAGATCACTCCACCTAGTGGCTGCAGGCACACAACAGTTGCTTGAAAAGGTCTGTGCAGCTGCGGTACTAAGAAAAAAAAGTGCCTTAGCGCACTCCTGACCGGGCCTCCCTCTGCCCCGGGCCCCATAGCGACCGCGTGGGTCGCTACGGCGGTAGTTACGCCACTGGCGACGTTTGCACGCGTGTATGTATGGGTGGGGACTTTTAAAAATGAAAAAAATATATATTTTATTCTTTTTCATGTGTGACTCATTTTTTTTTGCAACTTTCATTTTTTTTCCTATTTTTTTGTTCACTTAACTTTATTGTCATCACATAGGGGGCTAAGAATCCCCCTATGTGATACCAATTTACATGACAGGTCCTCTCTATGGAGACATCAGGGGTCTCCAAGACCCTTAATGTCACCTAGGAACCCCCAAAGAAGCTGATGAAGCAGAGATCTGCTTCATCATCTTCTCTCCAGCTTCTGAAGCTGGAGAGTGACCGCAGAATGCGGAAGTGATGTAATATACATAACTTCTGCATTCTGACACCAGAGAGGGGACTGTTGGGAGATCGTGTACCAATCTCCCTCTGAACCCGTCACAGAGCCCCATGCTGGTCCCGGGCTCGCACGGGGCACAGTGGAGCTTGGGACCAGCAGTCTAATTACAAGTGATCTCGGCGACATCGCCAAGATCACTTGTAAAGAAACAGGTGATTTATCCTATTCTACATTTAGTCTGGCTTGTGCAAAGCAGAGTTAAATGTAGAAAACAAATTACTGCCGGCACCTGCAACTCAATGTTCCGAGCGACGGGTAACTTCAAACCTGTGCTCTGCTCCGGGCCTCGGTGGCCTTGCCAGGAATCCGGCCCTGGCTGGAGGTGCATTTTGGGTACCATTCAAATTATTGGAAATGCAGCGCACCTCCTGCACTATAACACATGTTAGGTGCATTGCGTGGTAGTGAAGGTTAGTTGCACGGAAACCATGCGATTAACGCACCACCCTGGTGTGAACGGGCCCTAAAGGTTTTTAACTGCTATCCTACTAGACATTGCAATTAAATTGCCAGTAGGTGGAGCAGGTATTCCGCATGGACTACCTGTACATCCTTGTTTATCTGCATGTGTCATCAGACAGTGGAGAGCATCGGCTTCAGGCACTGAGCCAATAAGACCATCTCTGCCCCTTATGATCGCTGTGACTGGTCATCACAGCAATCACATGGTAATGTTCACATTGCTAAGCCCCCTGTTTCCTCTTGCAACAGAGGAAGGGGAGAGAGTAGGAACTAACAAATGAATGAATCATTCATTCGTTAGTTGCTAATAAAAAGAAACAGCAGTGGCAGCAGCAACAAACAATAAAAGTTGATAATATTTTAACGCTTTCACTCCCCCTCCTCTGTTGTATATGTCAGCTCCATTCTGTCTGTGCTCTGACCTGTATATTAAGCCTTTCCCCTCCCTTATTCTGCACATCTGTACAATAACCCCCTCATCTCCATCCTCCCAATGTATGTGGCCTGTACATTAACCCCTTCACCTCGTCCTCTCTCTGTGTATGACCTGTACATTTAATCTATCTAATATCTTTACAAAAATGGGTCATTTTGGAGGGGTTTGTACTGTCCTGGCATTTTTGACAGGTTTGATGTTCATTTACTCGTCTCATCTTTTTTTAATAGAAAATGATACGTACTAATGTTGATAAGTACTAAAATGTATTTTATTTTTTTAGTACAGATTAGGTGACCTGCTTTGTAGACTCTCAATACCTGTAGAGAACTTCCATATTAATGCTGACTACCTTAAATGGAAGCAAGACTGATATCATTACAAAACCTTAGATCCGTGTTTTCTAAACAATGGGGTGGGACCAAAATTGGGTCATGGCCCTATTTCGGATGGCTCCCGCATGGTGGCATTTCTGGCATGATCAACGGGAGTTTTCACTACGTTCTGTAAATGTTCTTAGACTGTACAAGGAAAACTAATGCATCCACCTCATCTAAGTAATGGTAAGATACAATAAATTACACACAGTGCTTGCCCTTGGGTCTTTTTCCTCCCTTTTGTTATTTGTATTTATTTATTTATTGCCAACTGTTTACATTTCTCACCATTTGCAAGTAAACGTTTTCACATTTTCATTTGTGTTCTTTCTGTTTATCACATTGTCATGTAAAAAAAAAACCAGGAAATAAAAACCTTTAAATAATTTGTAAAGATCTATGCTGTGTTTTGTACCAGAAGCAAAATGTTTATGTCATTATAAAATCATTTTATTTATTTTCTGTATCTAGAGCTTTACATGGTTTTGCTGAAATTTAGTACACATTCTCATTTTCTTATTTGGGTCCTCATGTTAAAAAGTTTGGGAACTTGGCCCACTTGAACAAAAAAAAAATCAGATATGCAATTAGATAGATAGTTAGACATTGTACAAATAACTTCCATTTCCATAGTCTTTCCTGTTACAGCAGTTGTACAGTGTGTCAAAATATAACCGCACAGTTCAATAGGCACCAGAGTTAGACCCACTACATACCTCCCAACTTTCTGAAATAAGAACGAGGGACACCTTTCAGTACAGTGTATTTAGGCAATGGACACACCCTGCCATAGCCCTAGTTATGTGGGCCATTAAGAGTTTAAAAATGATTGGTTAGACCCCAAATTGTTTTTCTCTCACCTTTACTTTTCATTTTTACAGGGTTTTTTTTAAAATAGCAAACAGGATAATACAGAGATAAGATAAAAAGCTGACAGGGATTCTAGCCTCCCCCTACACTACTAAAAACAAAATATAATTTTTGTCTGTGATCCTATTGGAGATTTACCCTTCACTTCCTGTCTGGTGAAACCATTGTTAAACACAAAGTGAGGGGAAATCTCTCTAACAGAGCCCCAGATAGCAGTAACACCCAACCAGAGTTCTAACTCTTCCCCAATTTATCCAAAACTGAACAAAAAAGTTTTGGTTAGACATACACTTGTATGCATTGCAATTAGGGATGATCAGATACCAGTGCCGACATTTAATGAGAACTACCAGATACCCGTACTTGGCATTTTCATGAGAACTACCAGGGTTGCAGAGGTTGCAGCTGGGACCGGCCTGTGGTGCTCCACCACTGTCTGTATTGTTTTAGAAAAAACCGTCACATTACAATAAACTAAAATGTATCAGTACTTGTATCTGTGAGTACTTGGACATGTATCAGTACTTGCACTTGAAAAAAGGGTATCGGTGCATCCCATATATATGTTTATAAAAAAAAATCATACAGTAAAACAGGGATGCACAAATCCCAGGAGCTCCGTATGCTCCTTAAAAATGACAGCTGTCTCATGGAGGCTGGAAAAGTATCTGTACTTGTACTTGTACCGAGTACCTACTTGGTATCTGAACATCCCTAATTGCAATGCTTAAAAAAAGTGCAAGTATACCACCAAAACAAAAGTAACATTTTGGGACCCCAGGGGGTGTTTACCATATGCACAGCATATTAACACATTATGGCAGACTAACCTTGCAGACAATGTGCTCAAACAATGCAATGCCAGCTCTCCCATCCATTGTGTACCATCACTTCTATGTAAAATGGTATTCTATTACAGATCACTTGTTTCCTGACCTAATTCAGACAGTCGGATCCCCTGATATCCAGTCTGGGCTTCCCATGATCCAGATTCTAGTGGAAGTCTCCTTGTGCAAGGTGAAATGCTGTGCAAGAAACATCTACGGAAGTTGCGGGATGTCAGATTGTAGAGCAGAGGAGTGAGACAAGCACTGAGATAGTAGAAGCAGTTGGTGATAGGTTGCAGTGTGATATAGGAACGGTAGTAACTCTCTGTCCATTGCTCCTTAGAACGCAGAATAGTCATCAGCCTACGTGCCTGGAATGGTAGCCAGCACACAGCTAGCACACCCACAATCCAACCTGGAAGCAGAAAAATTATTATATTACACACCCAGAACTGCATGCAAAACCCATCCAGAAATATTATTTGCACTCAGATAAAAAGGGGTCAGGAGCGGTGCTAGACCCTATCACCCAGGGCACGTGCCCCAGTTCTCCTTCATTACCCTTATCCCAAGTATTATTCCTTAACTAGCCATAAAAGACTAGTTATGCCTGTTTAATACCAAAGCCTTTAGACATTTTTTTTTATTAAAAGTAGATTTTTAGGCCCAAGACAGGCATTTTAAAACATCAGGTTACTTGGCACTCTAAGATACTTATGGTTGTTAAGAAAAAAACAACAAATATTAAAAAGAAGGTAGAGGGATAAGATGACAACAGGGTCAAAACAGCCTATTTATTTTTCATAGAATAGTGTCTAAATCACAACAACTATGTTAGTGTCTAGGGGTACCTGTTCTGGTGACAACTGTATGAGAGGGGACCCCCCTCACTTTTGAAAAATGTATGCTTATCTCCTCTTACTTCCCCAGGTCAGGTGAAGGGAAATTTCTCCAACTGGACACAGATGGCTAAAATTCCTTTCCAGGTTTCTAACCCTTACAAAAAAAAGTTTTAGCTGTACACTTTAACTGTATATCCATGACTAGTACTCACCAAGAAGCGTGGCATTTTGCCTGCGCACTGCTATATGACGACCAGAGAAACTGTCAAATAACTGAATGGATCCATTGGGTCCTGTGATATCCAGACCTGTATTAGCCCGCAAAGCTCTCCTCATTCTCCAGCAAGTTACACCCACCACCACCAACACTCCCAGATATGTTAGGAAGGACATGCAGACACTGGTAGTGAAGAGTCCCATCCATTGGTGCAGTGGAGTACACACTTGCACGTTAAAGGGTTTCTCCTGAATATCTTTCACATTAATAGTTTCCAAGCCTATTGAAAACAGCATGGGCAGCCCAGCCAAGAAAGAAATCAGCCATAGTAAGCATAGCCGAAGGCGCACCCTTGACGACTGCCGCAGACGGAGGCTTAGCGGTTGACAGGTGGCACGGTGTCTCTCGCAGCTTAAAGACAACACATTAAAAATTGCAGAGTAACAGAGCACTTCCCACAGGTAGTAGACGCCAGAACAGCCAACAGCCCCAAGTGGCCATGGGAAGGGGCTCCAAATGCTTCCATACAACTCAGTTGGAATACCAAGTACCAGCTGTAAAATATCACAGGATGCCAGGCTGCACATGTGATGACTGAGAGAGGTCTGGACTCCACGTCGACCACGTATTCCCTGCAGTACTCTAATAACTAGAGTGTTCCCTAGGATTCCAGCCAGAAGCAGTAGGATATAAACCATGGACACTAAAGACTTGCCACAGTTACTGAGCCTGACTGGTGTCTCAGGAGTTGCTCTTAATGGTGGCATTGGGATAGGAAGATACGGGCTGGTAGTATAAAACCAGCTTCTTACTACAAAAAAAAAGGAAAAGATGTGACCAGTACATCCATCAGCTTGTGGTCAGATAAGTCTTCCTTTCCAAATCCAAATGTCCAAGGCAATTAGTAAATAGCCAGTTTCTAATCCATGTCCCCTTCCACAAAAAAGAGGCTTGTTTGTTTGTCAGGAAAATCTGGAAACAGCTACAGTTTCTCTTTTTCTGGGACATCAGTATCTTTTATGTTGCTGTGATCTTGCTGAAAAAGACGTCACGCAAACATATCAGTTCATTGCTGTTTCTTCTGATAAGAATGTACGAGTTTTTAGATGTTTTTCTCAGCCAACCTACTTATCTGGCTGTTTGAAGTTGATGGTTTCTGTGCTTCAGTCTATTTCTATAATTCTACTTTTTGCTCCTTCTGTTTATTCTTTACATTTCTTTACATAACACCCTGCTTCCCTTACTGCTCTCACTTCAGAGAGGGAAAACAGGATGGGAGTGTTAGAGGTTTCAGAACTAAAATATACCCGCTAGGTCATAGATCTTCAGGCAAGTGTGTATGTGTGGCCCCTTGCCCTCACAATTATGGCCCTGTTGTAAAGAAATAGGACATGCTTCACAGCCAATGATAATTTATACATGATGATACATGAACCATATGCTGCAAAAATGTCATTCTGCAATGCAAAGATTGATGATGATGTACAAAATGTAGTATTCCAAAGCAATCATATAGTGAAGTTAGGTAAGTGAAGAATGAACAGGCTATCTCCCCAGTTCTGCTTAAAAGGGAATATTACTTGGCATCAGTCATACTCTGACAAACAGCTAACCTGTATGGCTGATTCTAGCCTCAGGTTAGCATTTTAATGTGCACTAGGAAAAGTATGCCTGTTCCAGTATGGTCATGATTTGGAATATTAGAAACAATGTTGAAGAGATGTTTTAAGGGAAAAGATGATGTGGCCTTGGAGCGAGGTGTGTAAGCAGAGCGGCTGGGGGTTTAATTTAGGTGGAGGGGGGGCCAGTGGATCTAGGTGTGTGCATGGTATGGGGGGGTAACATCAGTGGAGAAGAGGTTAGGGGATTGCAGTGTGTGTGAGTGAGAGTGGAGCAAGGGCAGAGATGAGGGTTGTGGAGGAGTGCATAGGATATGACATCTGAGGTAATGTAGCCAGGGGTTAAGGGTGTGTAAGTGGTTGTTGAGGGGTTCAATGCAGAGATCGTGTTGGTGGTTAATGTTGGAGTTGAGGTGCCCAAGTAATGGAAATATGTGGGTGGGGCTTGGTTAATATCAGTGGTGAGGTGCCCAGGGAAGCTCTGGAAAGTAGAGTCTGTACTTGCTTAAAATGCTGTAGGCCTGAATAACTAAACTAACGCAACCACAACACCTAAGGACTGACAAGTTGCAATATAGTAAATCTATGTTCTTAGGTTTAGTTATCCTAAGGCTAAGTACAGTATATTTTCTGCAAACACAGAAAAATACCTATGTGTCCTGTCAGAAACCTTGTGTCCTCATAACTCACATACATTTGAAATCTCAAACAATATTGTTAGCTTTCTCCACTATCTTCTGTGATCTACAAAGCAACGCCTCTCTTTGTAATGAAGAAGATTAGTTGGTATTTGTGGTCCAGATCAGAAGAGCATCCTAGGGTGACATCTCTGTTCCACCATAGATGCAGTGAGTGATGCAGCTATGATACATATCTGGTTTCCCTGTGTTTTTTCTGTGAGTAAACTTAATCCTATCACTTTAGTACACCTTTTAAATAAAAAAAAGTTACAGGCATTTTTGGCTTACCTAAAGTAGAACTATGTCCTTATGAATTTGCTCCCTTTCTATAGTATGTACAGTATGTATGATTATTTCTTAAGGTTTCTTTTACTATATACAACTCTTGTAATCCATCTGATATTTATTGTGAGAATACCTTTATGCACTACATACTTCTTTACTAGACTTTCATGGCCATTTAACACCAGCAGCTGAGCTAGAACGCATGTCAACGGTCGCAATCATCCCGGCGCATTGCACTGTTTACCCTTTTATTGTTAGAACTTTATTGAAACATCACAAGTGACATTTCATTAAGTTCTATGGGCACAGCGTGGTGCCATACAATTCATCATGCCTCGTCCTGCTGCACTGAATAAAAGTACTGCATGCAACGTACATCATGCTGGTGTAAACTGAGCCCATTCGACACAAGGCAAATTGCCTTGTCTAGCGTTGGGGCTGAGCTGTTAAAAGCCCCAACGTATCCGTGTGAAGCCAGCCTCACTAGTACAGTGATGCTCTCATTCTTACCTACAATCAGCTATTCACCTTTTAGATCGTAAGCCCTGAGGGGCAGGGCCCTCCTTACCATCTTGTCTTGAATTGTATTGTCTTCCTTATATTGTAAAGCGCTGCACAAACTGTTGGCACTATATAAATCCTGTATAATAATAATATTCAGGAGAGAGACCAGTGTAGTAACTTGCAGCTAGTGATGTTGAGAATGACAGCATGCTGGAGATGAGAGCACTGTCATTTTAACGAATGCCCACAACAACACACCCAGCTACTGCTCTAGTCTCCCTGCCCTGAATAGAAGAAAGGAGGTCTGGGCTTAGTTGTCCAAGATAAACTAGAGTAGGAGCTGGCGTGTGCGGTTGTGGGCTGGTCTCCATTGCCACCATTCACAACAATTCAGGCTGCCCGCTGCTACTCTAGTTTCTCTTCCCCAAATAGCTGATTGTAGATAAGAATGAGAGCATCCCTGCAATGTATTGTATTGAATAGGAATGGGTCTGGGCTCAGTCTTTCCTTTCAGTACAAGGAAGATGACAGAGTAGCGCAAAAGAGGCACAGGACTGCAAGATTAGATGGCGAAGCTGCAGAATGAAGAAGGGAAGGTGGCTTCAGTACTGGCTTTAGCTCCCCCATTGGAACACCCATAAACTGGACTTCAGCCTAGGGTGGAGCTACAGCCAGGACAAACAGAAACAAATCTCAACGTATTTTAAAAACACTGCACTGATGAGAACAGGACCAAGGGCTATGTGCGCCGTGACCCTTGGGGGGGTTCATCAATGATTTTCTACCGGTGATAAAACTTCTCTAAATGTCTGCATATTAAAATGCGTGTTTTTAAGCATGTTTTTAAACTACTTTCTGTGCATTTTGATGTACCACATGTTAGCACATTAATGTGCATTACACATCTAAAAAAAATCACATAATTGAAGCCCAACTTCTATCAGAATTTTATTTTGTATAATAACACCGGTTTATGAAGTGATGGGATGATCACAACATTTCACTAGACCTTGGTGCTATTTTCACACATCTTTCCCCACCTTTTGTTTTAAAAACGCATGCCACCCCAGTAGAATGGAATAGTTTTGCTCATGCCTAGCTTCTAAAGTGCAATTAGTCAGCAAATATATATATTTACACTCAAACACAGCCAAAATGTGTTTTAGGTTTTTGGCTCATGTTTACTGTAGGCTGGTTAATCAGAGCTAAGGGTGATTGCCCTGTAATCTCTGTTTTTTGTTGAAAGGATCATTACATAGAGGAAGCTGTGTTGATCTAGCCAGAGGTCCTGTTTTCTGCGAATATGATGTCATGCTGAAGGAATGAAGTATCATGAACCCAGCAAATATCAATCCACTTATATCAGTATCTTTGCTTCTGATTCCTTACAGTCATTAAATTATACTTAAAATAAAGACAAGGACTAGATCACAGTTATTGACATTTCCCACAAAACAATTGTTTCAATGTTAGTTTTGATGTTAGCTAATACTGAAGGTTTAATATATACTGTGTAATTATACACTATATTGCCAAAAGTATTGGGACACCCCTCCAAATCATTGGATTCAGGTGTTCCAATCACCTCCATGGCCACAGGTGTATAAAATCAAGCACCTAGGCATGCAGACTGCTTCTACAAACATTTGTGAAAGAATGGGTCGCTCTGTGAATTCAAGCGTGGTACTGTGATATGTTGCCACCTGTGCAATAAGTGCATCCGTGAAATTTGCTTGCTACTAAATATTCCACGGCCAAATGTTAGTGGTATTATAACAGAATGGGAGCAACTGGGAACAACAGAAACTGAGCCATGAAGTGGTAAGCCACGTAAAAATGAAAGAGCGGGGTCAGTGCATGCTAAAGTGCACAGTGCGCAGAAGTCGACAACTGTCCGCAGAGTCAATAGCTACAGACCTCCAAACTTCGTGTGGCCTTCAGATTGGCACAATAACAGTGCATTGAGAGCTTCATGGAATGGGTTTCCATGGCCTAGCAGCTGCATCCAAGCCTTACATCACCAAGTACAATGCAAAGCGTCAGATGCAGTGGTGTAAAGCACGCTGCCACTGGACTCTACAGAAGTGGAGACGTGTTCTCACGCTTCTCTGTTTGACAGTTGCCAGGATAATGTTACTTGCCTGACTGCATTGTGTCAAGTGTAAAGTTTGGTGGAGTGGGGATTATGGTATGGTGGTTTTTCAGGTTCTTGGCCTGGCCCCTTAGTTCCAGTGAAGGTAACTCTTAAGGCATCAGCATACCAATACATTTTGGACAATTTCATCCTCCCAACTGAGTGGGAACAGTTTGGGGATGGCCCCTTCCTGTTCCAACATGACTGTGCACCGGTGAACAAAGCAAGGTCCATGAAGACATGGATGAGCGAGTTTGGGGTGGAGGAACTTGACTGACCCAGTTCTCCTTCATTACCCTTATCCCAAGTATTATTCCTTAACTAGCCATAAAAGACTAGTTATGCCTGTTTAATACCAAAGCCTTTAGACATTTTTTTTTATTAAAAGTAGATTTTTAGGCCCAAGACAGGCATTTTAAAACATCAGGTTACTTGGCACTCTAAGATACTTATGGTTGTTAAGAAAAAAACAACAAATATTAAAAAGAAGGTAGAGGGATAAGATGACAACAGGGTCAAAACAGCCTATTTATTTTTCATAGAATAGTGTCTAAATCACAACAACTATGTTAGTGTCTAGGGGTACCTGTTCTGGTGACAACTGTATGAGAGGGGACCCCCCTCACTTTTGAAAAATGTATGCTTATCTCCTCTTACTTCCCCAGGTCAGGTGAAGGGAAATTTCTCCAACTGGACACAGATGGCTAAAATTCCTTTCCAGGTTTCTAACCCTTACAAAAAAAAGTTTTAGCTGTACACTTTAACTGTATATCCATGACTAGTACTCACCAAGAAGCGTGGCATTTTGCCTGCGCACTGCTATATGACGACCAGAGAAACTGTCAAATAACTGAATGGATCCATTGGGTCCTGTGATATCCAGACCTGTATTAGCCCGCAAAGCTCTCCTCATTCTCCAGCAAGTTACACCCACCACCACCAACACTCCCAGATATGTTAGGAAGGACATGCAGACACTGGTAGTGAAGAGTCCCATCCATTGGTGCAGTGGAGTACACACTTGCACGTTAAAGGGTTTCTCCTGAATATCTTTCACATTAATAGTTTCCAAGCCTATTGAAAACAGCATGGGCAGCCCAGCCAAGAAAGAAATCAGCCATAGTAAGCATAGCCGAAGGCGCACCCTTGACGACTGCCGCAGACGGAGGCTTAGCGGTTGACAGGTGGCACGGTGTCTCTCGCAGCTTAAAGACAACACATTAAAAATTGCAGAGTAACAGAGCACTTCCCACAGGTAGTAGACGCCAGAACAGCCAACAGCCCCAAGTGGCCATGGGAAGGGGCTCCAAATGCTTCCATACAACTCAGTTGGAATACCAAGTACCAGCTGTAAAATATCACAGGATGCCAGGCTGCACATGTGATGACTGAGAGAGGTCTGGACTCCACGTCGACCACGTATTCCCTGCAGTACTCTAATAACTAGAGTGTTCCCTAGGATTCCAGCCAGAAGCAGTAGGATATAAACCATGGACACTAAAGACTTGCCACAGTTACTGAGCCTGACTGGTGTCTCAGGAGTTGCTCTTAATGGTGGCATTGGGATAGGAAGATACGGGCTGGTAGTATAAAACCAGCTTCTTACTACAAAAAAAAAGGAAAAGATGTGACCAGTACATCCATCAGCTTGTGGTCAGATAAGTCTTCCTTTCCAAATCCAAATGTCCAAGGCAATTAGTAAATAGCCAGTTTCTAATCCATGTCCCCTTCCACAAAAAAGAGGCTTGTTTGTTTGTCAGGAAAATCTGGAAACAGCTACAGTTTCTCTTTTTCTGGGACATCAGTATCTTTTATGTTGCTGTGATCTTGCTGAAAAAGACGTCACGCAAACATATCAGTTCATTGCTGTTTCTTCTGATAAGAATGTACGAGTTTTTAGATGTTTTTCTCAGCCAACCTACTTATCTGGCTGTTTGAAGTTGATGGTTTCTGTGCTTCAGTCTATTTCTATAATTCTACTTTTTGCTCCTTCTGTTTATTCTTTACATTTCTTTACATAACACCCTGCTTCCCTTACTGCTCTCACTTCAGAGAGGGAAAACAGGATGGGAGTGTTAGAGGTTTCAGAACTAAAATATACCCGCTAGGTCATAGATCTTCAGGCAAGTGTGTATGTGTGGCCCCTTGCCCTCACAATTATGGCCCTGTTGTAAAGAAATAGGACATGCTTCACAGCCAATGATAATTTATACATGATGATACATGAACCATATGCTGCAAAAATGTCATTCTGCAATGCAAAGATTGATGATGATGTACAAAATGTAGTATTCCAAAGCAATCATATAGTGAAGTTAGGTAAGTGAAGAATGAACAGGCTATCTCCCCAGTTCTGCTTAAAAGGGAATATTACTTGGCATCAGTCATACTCTGACAAACAGCTAACCTGTATGGCTGATTCTAGCCTCAGGTTAGCATTTTAATGTGCACTAGGAAAAGTATGCCTGTTCCAGTATGGTCATGATTTGGAATATTAGAAACAATGTTGAAGAGATGTTTTAAGGGAAAAGATGATGTGGCCTTGGAGCGAGGTGTGTAAGCAGAGCGGCTGGGGGTTTAATTTAGGTGGAGGGGGGGCCAGTGGATCTAGGTGTGTGCATGGTATGGGGGGGTAACATCAGTGGAGAAGAGGTTAGGGGATTGCAGTGTGTGTGAGTGAGAGTGGAGCAAGGGCAGAGATGAGGGTTGTGGAGGAGTGCATAGGATATGACATCTGAGGTAATGTAGCCAGGGGTTAAGGGTGTGTAAGTGGTTGTTGAGGGGTTCAATGCAGAGATCGTGTTGGTGGTTAATGTTGGAGTTGAGGTGCCCAAGTAATGGAAATATGTGGGTGGGGCTTGGTTAATATCAGTGGTGAGGTGCCCAGGGAAGCTCTGGAAAGTAGAGTCTGTACTTGCTTAAAATGCTGTAGGCCTGAATAACTAAACTAACGCAACCACAACACCTAAGGACTGACAAGTTGCAATATAGTAAATCTATGTTCTTAGGTTTAGTTATCCTAAGGCTAAGTACAGTATATTTTCTGCAAACACAGAAAAATACCTATGTGTCCTGTCAGAAACCTTGTGTCCTCATAACTCACATACATTTGAAATCTCAAACAATATTGTTAGCTTTCTCCACTATCTTCTGTGATCTACAAAGCAACGCCTCTCTTTGTAATGAAGAAGATTAGTTGGTATTTGTGGTCCAGATCAGAAGAGCATCCTAGGGTGACATCTCTGTTCCACCATAGATGCAGTGAGTGATGCAGCTATGATACATATCTGGTTTCCCTGTGTTTTTTCTGTGAGTAAACTTAATCCTATCACTTTAGTACACCTTTTAAATAAAAAAAAGTTACAGGCATTTTTGGCTTACCTAAAGTAGAACTATGTCCTTATGAATTTGCTCCCTTTCTATAGTATGTACAGTATGTATGATTATTTCTTAAGGTTTCTTTTACTATATACAACTCTTGTAATCCATCTGATATTTATTGTGAGAATACCTTTATGCACTACATACTTCTTTACTAGACTTTCATGGCCATTTAACACCAGCAGCTGAGCTAGAACGCATGTCAACGGTCGCAATCATCCCGGCGCATTGCACTGTTTACCCTTTTATTGTTAGAACTTTATTGAAACATCACAAGTGACATTTCATTAAGTTCTATGGGCACAGCGTGGTGCCATACAATTCATCATGCCTCGTCCTGCTGCACTGAATAAAAGTACTGCATGCAACGTACATCATGCTGGTGTAAACTGAGCCCATTCGACACAAGGCAAATTGCCTTGTCTAGCGTTGGGGCTGAGCTGTTAAAAGCCCCAACGTATCCGTGTGAAGCCAGCCTCACTAGTACAGTGATGCTCTCATTCTTACCTACAATCAGCTATTCACCTTTTAGATCGTAAGCCCTGAGGGGCAGGGCCCTCCTTACCATCTTGTCTTGAATTGTATTGTCTTCCTTATATTGTAAAGCGCTGCACAAACTGTTGGCACTATATAAATCCTGTATAATAATAATATTCAGGAGAGAGACCAGTGTAGTAACTTGCAGCTAGTGATGTTGAGAATGACAGCATGCTGGAGATGAGAGCACTGTCATTTTAACGAATGCCCACAACAACACACCCAGCTACTGCTCTAGTCTCCCTGCCCTGAATAGAAGAAAGGAGGTCTGGGCTTAGTTGTCCAAGATAAACTAGAGTAGGAGCTGGCGTGTGCGGTTGTGGGCTGGTCTCCATTGCCACCATTCACAACAATTCAGGCTGCCCGCTGCTACTCTAGTTTCTCTTCCCCAAATAGCTGATTGTAGATAAGAATGAGAGCATCCCTGCAATGTATTGTATTGAATAGGAATGGGTCTGGGCTCAGTCTTTCCTTTCAGTACAAGGAAGATGACAGAGTAGCGCAAAAGAGGCACAGGACTGCAAGATTAGATGGCGAAGCTGCAGAATGAAGAAGGGAAGGTGGCTTCAGTACTGGCTTTAGCTCCCCCATTGGAACACCCATAAACTGGACTTCAGCCTAGGGTGGAGCTACAGCCAGGACAAACAGAAACAAATCTCAACGTATTTTAAAAACACTGCACTGATGAGAACAGGACCAAGGGCTATGTGCGCCGTGACCCTTGGGGGGGTTCATCAATGATTTTCTACCGGTGATAAAACTTCTCTAAATGTCTGCATATTAAAATGCGTGTTTTTAAGCATGTTTTTAAACTACTTTCTGTGCATTTTGATGTACCACATGTTAGCACATTAATGTGCATTACACATCTAAAAAAAATCACATAATTGAAGCCCAACTTCTATCAGAATTTTATTTTGTATAATAACACCGGTTTATGAAGTGATGGGATGATCACAACATTTCACTAGACCTTGGTGCTATTTTCACACATCTTTCCCCACCTTTTGTTTTAAAAACGCATGCCACCCCAGTAGAATGGAATAGTTTTGCTCATGCCTAGCTTCTAAAGTGCAATTAGTCAGCAAATATATATATTTACACTCAAACACAGCCAAAATGTGTTTTAGGTTTTTGGCTCATGTTTACTGTAGGCTGGTTAATCAGAGCTAAGGGTGATTGCCCTGTAATCTCTGTTTTTTGTTGAAAGGATCATTACATAGAGGAAGCTGTGTTGATCTAGCCAGAGGTCCTGTTTTCTGCGAATATGATGTCATGCTGAAGGAATGAAGTATCATGAACCCAGCAAATATCAATCCACTTATATCAGTATCTTTGCTTCTGATTCCTTACAGTCATTAAATTATACTTAAAATAAAGACAAGGACTAGATCACAGTTATTGACATTTCCCACAAAACAATTGTTTCAATGTTAGTTTTGATGTTAGCTAATACTGAAGGTTTAATATATACTGTGTAATTATACACTATATTGCCAAAAGTATTGGGACACCCCTCCAAATCATTGGATTCAGGTGTTCCAATCACCTCCATGGCCACAGGTGTATAAAATCAAGCACCTAGGCATGCAGACTGCTTCTACAAACATTTGTGAAAGAATGGGTCGCTCTGTGAATTCAAGCGTGGTACTGTGATATGTTGCCACCTGTGCAATAAGTGCATCCGTGAAATTTGCTTGCTACTAAATATTCCACGGCCAAATGTTAGTGGTATTATAACAGAATGGGAGCAACTGGGAACAACAGAAACTGAGCCATGAAGTGGTAAGCCACGTAAAAATGAAAGAGCGGGGTCAGTGCATGCTAAAGTGCACAGTGCGCAGAAGTCGACAACTGTCCGCAGAGTCAATAGCTACAGACCTCCAAACTTCGTGTGGCCTTCAGATTGGCACAATAACAGTGCATTGAGAGCTTCATGGAATGGGTTTCCATGGCCTAGCAGCTGCATCCAAGCCTTACATCACCAAGTACAATGCAAAGCGTCAGATGCAGTGGTGTAAAGCACGCTGCCACTGGACTCTACAGAAGTGGAGACGTGTTCTCACGCTTCTCTGTTTGACAGTTGCCAGGATAATGTTACTTGCCTGACTGCATTGTGTCAAGTGTAAAGTTTGGTGGAGTGGGGATTATGGTATGGTGGTTTTTCAGGTTCTTGGCCTGGCCCCTTAGTTCCAGTGAAGGTAACTCTTAAGGCATCAGCATACCAATACATTTTGGACAATTTCATCCTCCCAACTGAGTGGGAACAGTTTGGGGATGGCCCCTTCCTGTTCCAACATGACTGTGCACCGGTGAACAAAGCAAGGTCCATGAAGACATGGATGAGCGAGTTTGGGGTGGAGGAACTTGACTGGCCTACACTGAGTCCTGACCTCAACCCTATAGAACACCTTTGGGATGAAAATAGAGCGGAAACTGCGAGCCAGGCCTTCTCGTCTCATCAGTACCTGACCTCACATGTGTGTGTATTGCTCTTGGCAATATAGTGTGTGTGTGTATGTATATATATATATGTGTTAGGCTAACGTAGTTAGCCGTATTTGTGGGAGGAGTCTGCGCCTCCTCCGTCCGCTCAAAAGGCACTCACCCAGGCTTCCTAGTACACAGGGATCCGACGGAGTA